CCTGGTCCAGATGCAACCGGTGCATTGTATTGGGTAAGACATCCACAACTCACACAACATCTTTACCAGATGGCAAAACCAGCAAAAGTGCACTGAAAGGTCTCTTGAAGAAGGCTCCTAGTGCCTGTAATAGCTTCCTCATTTCCGTCCCTTAGCAGTCTAAGAATAGACTAGAATAGATGCGCAGGTGACCTCCAAGAAATACTAGAGAAAATAGGGCTTGGGAGCAGATTCTTATGTCCCTGAATCTGTCCTTTACCAAAAATCTTACCTGATCCTAAAATCTAGCACAGCTATTTAAATTAAAAGCAAAGAGTTTTAAACCTGTATCACAGATTCTTTTTTCCACATTCTGGTCATATTTTAACAGTTTCATTGCATTGTAAGACCTGCCTTAAATATCCCCAGGACAGATACAGTAATCAGTGTCACCTATTTTATGTATGAGGCCAATAGTGAATTTCCCAATCACTGACCACATTCCTATTGTTTCTGAGATGAGTTCCAGCAGACATCACTTTCTGACACAGTAAGAGGCTGATTTGGGTTCCACCTTCATTCAGACGTCTACAGATCTGGGAGAGGTGTTGGCCAAATCACTTCACCCTTCAGGGATGAAATGTTCACCTTTGCAAAATAAAGAGGTTGATCATTTGCAAAGTCCTTTCCAACTCCAACATTCTAGAATGATTCCATAAATAAATATTAGATGACAACTTGTAGTTGTTTTAATGGTAGAAATTTGAGCCAACCATTTAGCCTACAGAGACAATGACCTGAGCAGAGAGTCAGTCCTTGAAATGAGAAATCTACAAAACCGCAGGGGAAGGCAGAACAAAAGCCTTTGACAGCAGGAAGCTAAACTGAGCCTCTTTTTCCACTTTTCATTCGTCCTAGGCACTCTTTCCCCAGTTGATATGTCCACCTTCCACAAATACCCAGAAAGGAAACACATATTATTTATGCAACTATGAGCCATGTGTCATTTGTCTGGATTTTCATTTTTTAATAAGCTCTCTTATCATTAAGCCTCTCTCATTTTAACTTCTTTGCATCCTTCCAACAACTGTGTAATGAGGACGCAGTAAAACCCAAGCACGTAATAACAGCAAATTACTCCTTTTAAAAAGCTGACCTGAAGTTCTAGTTTACTAACCAAAATGACTGGAGCCGGGCATATTAGTCCTTTAACCTTTTTATTACGTATATACATGAAAACAATTAAAACTGGGATTTCTTTCCAGTGTATTATCATTTTCTCTTCCCCCTGGCCTTTTTCCATCACATTTCAAAGAATTTACATGATATCCACTGCAGAGTCTCTCCTGTTTCCATTCTTTTCCCTCCTTTCCTCTTAACAACTGTCATCCTTTTAAGGTTAGCCAACCATGGGCTATCATCATACACCAGCAGTGTAGTCGGGTTGATACAGCAGCCGCAAATAAGAGGAAAAAAAGAAAAAAAAAACGAAAGGAAAAAAGTTGTGGGGTGGGGGCATTTAAAGCTCCTCATAAAATTAAATCTTAGATTTAAATTCTCCCTCATATTTTATTGTCTTTTCTTTTCTTTTTCCTGTGGTAAATGGTAATTAGAGTCAATAATCTTTTGCTGAGAGAGCACCTTGTCTTCACAGTGTTTATATCATCATCATCAAAGATCTGCCTCAAGGCCCCGGCGTGTTAATAATTTAAGGTGTGCACAGCCTAGTTATAGCAGGAAGCCTAGTTATTGAGTTTGTAAACCAGCCGATGATTTATGGCAACACCTTGCGTGAGTCATGCTCATTAAATAAAATACTTCGGTTTAATAAGGAACATGGGGTACGCAGTTCTTCCCGTTACAGGGTGAGTGTGCAATTGGAGATTGTTGAGTTTTGTCGCCAGGTTCACCACGGCGATTTTGTCTTAATTGTGTTGGCAGGCGAGGGAGGGAGGGCCATGTGTCTGTGTACATCTGCACACGTATGCATAGCGTATTGGCCTTCTTCCTCCCCAACAAGGGCTACCAGTCTAGAGCTTTCTCTCCCCTGAAAAGCTGTATCACAGAAGCCAAACTCTCTGATAGAATGTTAAATCTTTCTCTAAAAGGCTACTAATTAAGAAACCAGAAATGTTCATGGAAATAAAATTACAAGAAAAAAATCAATATACGGTTGTTAAATGTAGCCCACATTTAAGAGCCATAACCATATTTTACTGTTAAATGCTGTGGTTTACTCATTAGGAATTCCTAAGCAGACTGAGACAGCAAAAGGCAAACAGAGCATTCTGGTCCATTTAAAAGAAAATGTGTATGCAAGGTACACTTTTTGTTTTTTTAATGTCCCATATCTGGGACTTTGAAAAAAAAAAAAAATCAGAATCATTTAGTTGGATGTACTGTTTCCAAACAAACGTGTTCCAATAACCATTTGCATTTCTATTACTCTGAATTAATTGATCAGAGCATGAAGTGGGCGCTGAGAAAGGTGAGAAACTACGCTTGTTTTGTTTCACAGATTTCCATACAAAATGAAATTTCAGGCCAGGAGCTGTGACTCTTGCCTGTAATTCCAGCACTTTGGGAGGCTGAAACTGGAGGATCACTTGAGCTCAAGAATTTAAGACCAGCCTGGGCAACATAGTAAGACCTCATTTCTACAAATAATTTTTTAAATTAGCTGGGTGTGGTGGTGTGTGCCTGTGGTTCCAGCCACTCAGGAAGCTGAGGTAGGAGGATCACCTGAGCCCAGGAGGTCAAGGCTGCTGTAAGCAGTGATCATGCGACTGTACTCCAACCTGGGCAACAGAGTGGGATCCTAACTAAGAAGAAAAAAAAAAGAACTTTGATATTTGGTTGTGTTTATTGTTGCATGATCTCTAGGGTATTCTTAGGAAAGACAAACTGAACTTCTGTTTCACGTGTTGGAAAAACTCCCACCTTTGGGACATTTCTGAGCAATATTTTAAAATGTTCTAGGCTGGGCGCGCTGGCTCACGCCTGTAATCCCAGCACTTTGGGAGGCCGAGGCAGGTGGATCACCTGAGGTCAGGAATTTGAGGCCAGCCTGGCCAACATCCCGTCTCTACTAAAAATACCAAAAAAAAAATTAGCCAGGTGTGGTGGTGCATGCCTGTAGTCCCAGCTACTCCATAGGCTGAGGCGGAAGAATCGCTTGAACCCAGGAGGCAGAAGTTGCAGTGAGTTGAGATCGCACCACTGCACTCCAGCCTGGGCGACAGAGACGCTCTTCAAAAAAAAAAAAAAGAAAAAAAAAAAAAGTTCTATAAGCAGAATCACTGAAACAAAAATCAATCACATTCATTTCATATGCTAAATATAGTCAGTGTTTTTTACCAGTTTTCTTTAGAAAATAAATGTATCTTCAAAGGGAGCTGCCGCAGCCAGTGAGTCTGCTAAGTGAATAGGTGTACTTTGTGGTCTCCGTTTTACCACAGAGAAAATGGCTAATCTGAGTTTCGAATTACAGTGCTTCCTTCCCAGGAATCCTACCTGCTTTTAGTCTGGTGCTCAATTTGCACGAACTGTCGCCGCTGTTTGTTGATACGGCTTCCATATTCAGAAATCCCACATACTCTCAAGACTAGGAAGCACCTCATAGCCTGCCCTGATTTTAAATAAAGTTTTACATTTTGCTTTGATAGTATAGGATACTATATTCCCTTTCCTGAGGTCAGGAGTTCGAGACAAGCCTCGCCAACATAGTGAAACCCCGTCTCTACTAAAAATAGAAGAAAAAAAAATAGCTGGGCGTCGTGGCGGGCACCTGGAGGCTGAGACAGGAGAATCGTTTGAACCTGGGAGGTGGAGGTTGCAGTGAACCAAGATCACACCATTGCACTCCAGCCTGGGCGACAAGAGCAAAACTTAGTCTAAAAAAAAAAAAAAAAAGAAAGAAATGACCCAGTTTTTCAAGTATAGTCAATTTTATCTAGCCTCAAAATTTTTATTTTATTTTACTTTTTTTTTATTGTTCCTTATGGGGCAGGGCTACCCCATAGGTAGTGTCCCCAGAGTAGCACAGCCTCAAAATATTAAGAAGTACTTACCTTACATTTTTCTAAGACCAGTTGTATTCCTTTTCTCTTCATGCACAGAAATCTTGTATAGAGAAGTAGTTTCACATTGAAGCACTTTATTCAAAATATTTTAAATTCTAGGTGTCCTCATGGGCATTTTAATAAGTGACATTTATAAGACAAATCAGACTGTAAGCTTCCAGCAGACCAAGAATAGGCACATGTATTAGTTTCTATATTATATTTAACAGTGTCATATAGTTAAGTTATTACTAAATAGTGATTGCATTAACAGGACCCATGCTATTATCTCATGCCTCCTTAGGTTTGGCAACATTTTCCTTTCCTGTAATGGCCTACAGATCTGGCTTGCACATGATTTTTACAATTTCAGCTTTGATTTCAGAAATGTACGTGTTTAAGAATAAATTAAATAGCTGCAAGTCCATAAAAAAAGCTGTGTGTGTGTTTGTGTGTGCACTCTCATAAACTCGCTTTAAGACCAGCAGACTGAGGCCCTTGAGATTTTAATAAATATGTCCAGGGTCATATAATTGTTGGTTACTTTGGTTCATCTAATAATGAAAACATAACTATCATTCTTTGTGTTCTTACAATACTTTTCAGGGTCTCAGAGCTCTTTCCCAAGAGTGTTTCACACCTGCTTGTTTGCCCTCAGCCTCGGTGGCGGAGCAGATCCCTCCAAGTAAACAGCTACATCCCACAGTGCCTGTAAGAACTCACAGAGCATGCAGTCCCTAAACCCCACTCCAAGGAAGGCCCTTAAAATAAAGCTACTCCCCTGTAACTCGCCCTCGGTAGACTCTAAGATCAGTCTCTGTTGCCATCAGTTTCACTGTAGGGTAAATAATGTTTGAGTTCCTGGAAATGTCTCCTCATTTTCTGTTCTTGCAGTTCCACGAATAAGTATCCCAAAATAAGGGCAAAACATGAGCATTTTGAAAACATTTGTTTTCCAACCTGCCGGCTGCATTTTCCACCAAGGCACTGGACACGCACTCTGACTGAGCCCGCACATTCCCCACAGGCCAACTGCCTTTGACGTCAGTGGGAGCTTGGCCTTCTCGAAGACAGAGGCAAAGGTAATATTTGCAAAGTCAGCTTTGCAAAATTCAGCTTTTCTCCCCTTTGCTGCAGATTGAATGATAAGCCTGGGACCAGCAGAGATAACGTTTTCACAGGGGATTCCCTGGCTGGACCCTCCTACCAAATTCACGGAAATCAGTCTTTAAGAAAACCGGATGAGCCACTCATAATGGCCTGGCCACCACACCTGTCTGATAGCATCTCAGCTACTCCCTTCAAAGACAACAACTGGGTAGCAATTTTTTTAAATGCCTCTGTTACAATACAGCATATTTTACTCACTGCACCAAAATGTCAGCACAATGGAAAACAGATTGTTTATGCCGACCCAAGGATAAATATTTACGAGCCAGCAAATACAAACCCTGTCAAAGTCGACTGGTCAACAAGCATTCTTCCAGGAGAGGGACCCATTTTATGAAGGGTGTGTACTTTCTGACGTCAGCCATTTTGCAAGGGTATATTTGGGGACACTGTTGTCAAAAAGAAAATCCTCTGTTTCACGGGCTACATAGCAGCAACTGCCATACCAAATATCTTTCCTGCCATTCCTGAATCTCAGACAGAGACTTCTCTCTCTAGAAATAAAATCAAAGGGAGTCTGGGGAAAAAACAGTGGTGGAGAAATAAAATCTTTAAAATGTTGCATTAGGAGTTTTTCTCTTTTCCTCCCTTTATTTTGTGTGAGGACAGTGACTGCTGCGGCCAGCCGCTCCCTCGGCCACCCTGAATGTATAGCTGCCTCCAGTGCCCCAGGGCCAGAAGAGATTTCTTTACTGGAGATGCAATCAGCTCTAACCAATCAGTAAGAAGGGTTAATCAGCTGATCGATTGGTCCCTGAGCAGCCAGGACCTGGCTCCTCTCTGACTGGCTCTAGCCTGGCCTTGGGGTAAGAGGTTGGGAACTTTTAATTATCCACAGCAGCCACTGCTCTGATTGAATGGTCAATGGGTTTACTACTGAGGCGGCGCTGCTTGAATAATAATAGAAAACAATGTGAAAGCCGGCAAGTGCAAACAGAGGGCCAGAAAAGGCACTTGGATATGTAGAACGCACGTTAAGATGAGTTAATTGCCTGGCAGAAACCAAATTTCAAAGGTCTGAAAGGTGTTTTATGGAAGCGGAGTAGATGCTTGGGGAGGCATCAGCGAGATCACGTTTTTTTCTTTTGTGACTCGGGTCTGTGACCATTGCTGGCTACACCATGTTGCCCCAGGACAAAGGATAACCTGCTTACCCCAGTGGCTAAAAAATGATCACTGGAGGAGATTTGTATGTTGACATTTGCAGGCACGGTCAGGGTTTAATGATTTTTCTTTGTAAACTTCCTTGAAAAATAATCATTCCCTAGTTCCACTATGTAAGATGTGCTCACCGGGTGGGCAGGTTGGGTGGCATAATTAAATCATGCTAAGAAACACAGCGTTGACACCCAGAGGTTTTTAAAAGCTTTGCTCGACTGTGTGTTGTGGAGATCTTTCTACTTCACCCTCCCCACGCAGAATAAATCATCACTCCAATAACTCACTACAATATGCTGATCTTTCCTTTCCCAGGTAAAACAGCTCACTCATAGTGGTTTCTTCTTCCCTTGAAGGTAAAAACCAACAAGTGCCTCTGAATACAAATGCTATCTGTGTTCAAGTCCTCTGAGAGTGTCACAGTGGAGGCAAATGCCCCAAAAGGGTAAAATAACCAGCTAACAGCTCTATGTCCTGGCAGCAGGGTTAGCAAAAGATGTCAGCAGTTTCCTAGAACTGCCGAAAAGGATGTTTGGGTTCAATTTTTTTTAAAAAAAGAAGGAACAGTCCATTTGGCACAGAGACCCATGTTTGGAGGGGTGGTGGGAAAAGGCAACTAGACCCCTCTGGAAGGTATCCCCTGGAATCCTGGTCAAGATCTTCAAATTGTCAGAGATCTGAAATCATCCTATTTCAGCAGATTCCACGTTAAAAATGTGCCTTTCTCCAGTGATCTCACATAAACACTAGAGCTCATCGGGCTCTGCCGGAGTCATTACTATTTATATTACCATACCCTGGCTGTGTGCAGTCAATTCATAATTGTCCAGTTTTTCTAATTAATCACAAAAGATTTTTGTTTTGCCTGCAGCTAGTTCTGGGGTGACTCACGACGGCAAGCCAAAGCTCATACATCAAACACAGGCCCTCTCTCACTCCAGCCTTCTGCTGGGAAGGCTGCTCTGCGCCTCTCCACCAAACAGGCACGCACTGGGCATGTGCGGCCCCGGGCGCCGGAGAAGCCGGAGATCCGTCCTCTACTGTGTGACTTGTTATTTTTATCTGATGCTTGCATTCTCGGGCCAAATCAGATCCAAAGAGCACGGCCAGGTTTCTAAATTCAGAGCCCTGCTGCTCTGGTTCCTGTTCCTCCCTCTCTTCTGTCTTCCTCCTCGTCGTCTTTTATCAAATTGTTTAAGACTGTACTGCTTCCAAGAGAGAGATTGGGACATCATTTTTTATATTCTTCAGTCCTTTCAATGGTGACCTTTTATGGAGGCAACAACAAAGAATGTCACCAGAAGAAGGAGGGAAGAAACCACAGTTTCTGCGTTTTATTCTACCAAATCCACATCAAGGCAGGGCAGGAGGAAATATCTTTTTTTTTTTTTTTTTTTTTTTTTTGAGACGGAGTTTTGCTCTTGTTGCCCAGGCTGGAGTGCAATGGTGCAATCTCAGCTCACCCCAACCTTTGCCTCCCGGGTTCAAGGGATTCTCCTGCCTCAGCCTCCCGAGTAGCTGGGATTACAGGCATATGCCACCACGCCTGGCTAATTTTTTTTTTGTATGATTAGTGGGGACGGGGTTTCTCCAATTTGGTGAAGCTGGTCTCGAACTCTCGACCTCAGGTTATCCCCCCACCTTGGCCTCCCAAAGTGCTGGGATCACAGGCGTGAGCCACCTGCCCGGCCGGAAATATCTATTTAATGTGCAGTTTATCCTACTGAAAGGTGTTTCAACAGGTGACCCGTTGGAAATGCGTCTGGTGCAAATAACCTCTAGGATTGCTAGGAAGGGGCCCAGGGCCACCACTGGCCTGAGTCACAGCAGCTGGGTTTGCCTTATAGAAATGATCAGAGGGTCAACTGGAAGCAGGCAGGCAGAGGACGCCTGTGTAACCTGCATTACATGTGAGAAATTTCAAGGTGAGATCAATCTGTTTGGACGATCTTGTTTGATCACATTCGGTCTGCGTTGGCGTTGGCACAGGGCCAGCACGGTGACAGGAAATAGCATGGCGCCTGCTCTGTGAAATCTTCAGGACTCAAGCAGATGCTCTGGAACTGTCAGATGACTCCTAGTTGCTGATTTTATATATTGATTAATTTTGCAAACTTCATATACTTATTACTATTCTTGATATGTCCTGATAGTAGATACAGTCCATGCAGCACCAGATATGAACTTTTCCTTGTGTAAGACACTGTTTGCAAGGCCACAATGCTCCCACCTGCCCATCTCCCCAGACCACACTTGTCCTTTAGGTTTAACTAGATATCACCTCTGCTGAGAAGTCAGTCTCCCCTGACCACTCACCCCCCCATCCCCAGCCACCTGTTCCCGCCACCTGTGAGATGCGTCTTTTCTGCACTCCCGTCAAAGGCTATGCTGCCTCTGTCACGGCACACGTCACAGGCTGTTGAAATTGCTTTTGTGCCTGCCTGGTTCCCCCACATGGCCATATGCCCTGTGAGAGGAGGGATCGTGGTGCTCATCCTAAGCTCAACCCATGACTCCACGTGTGGCTCCAAGAGGGAAATACCTCTGAGCAGAAGAGATTTATCATCGGATGGGAAGGTCATAGTGAGTGTGAAGGAGAACGATGATGAAACATAACTTTCTAGATTTATTTCCCAAGTTATTTACCTTTCTAGGGTTACCTTCACCTGTCCACCCCCTCACGGGTGCCCTATTCTGTCAACTCCAGAGAATTCAGTCTCCCACGCCAGCCCCTGCATTCTTTAGTTCATTTTGAATCATAACAACAATACAATTGAAGAACGCTCTTATTGTCTCCTGATTAAGGAGAGCCAGACATACCTGGAGTTGTGTTTTTGGCTCTTGGCTTTCTCCCTTTCTGCAACCTATTTGCATATATGAGGAGTGGGGGCGGGGAGGGGGGACATCAAAGGGACAGCTGCTTGTTTGATCTAATTAGTCTATTTTTCATTCTTTCTAAAAACACTGGGGAAGGGGAATTCCAGATAGTCCTGGGATCTCTGTGAGGTAAATTAGTTTTTTAGACAGGTAGGCCTGGATTTTCTTTAACACGATGGCTGCACCATGAACAAAAAAACTGAGATCATCAGCCCTTTGGACTTCATATTAATTCATACATTTTTATTGAGTTCTTGCTGTGTTTTGACACACGTTGGGTGCACCGGGCAGCCAGCACAGGTGCGACCCCTACTCTTATTGATAAGCAAACATCAAGCTTGCTAGTCTTCTGGGGAGACAAAACCTCCGCAAGCTATTACAAGCCTAGAAAGGTAAATAACCTGGTGTTGTGGAAGGATATTCACGCACCATGGAAACTTGCAATGGAAGGGACTCCTATGGTCTGAGGTGGAAGCATCCCACAAAACCTGAAGTTCCCTTTAAGCCTAGTTGTAAAGAATGACAAGGCTAGACGTGCTCCAAGCAGACGGAAATGAGTGAGCTATGCTATCTTCCTGAGGAGGAAGAAAATGTCCACAGCTGGGGCATGGAAAGGGAATGGAAGCTCAGCTCCCCCAGTCACTGAGATCTCCATAGGGAGCGCCTTGTACACCATGGAAAAAAAATTCAATCGTGTCCCAAGCACACTGGGGAAGCACTAAAGACAAGTTTTAAACAGGTATATTCAAGACTCAGAGTTCTGTTATCTACAGGGCTCTCTGGTTGGAGTGTGGAGATGAGAGAGAGGCAAGATGGGGAATGGGAGATTCATTAGGCAGTCCCTGCAAAGGTCTAGTGAGAAATGATGGCAGCCTGGACAGCAGTGGCCACTGTGGGGATGGAAGGAGGTGGCGGGTTTTCCGTGGGGATGGAAGGAGGTGGAGGGTTTTCCGTGG